TTTGAAAGATGGTGAATTCAGTTTTGACCTCTTTGAGGAGAGAAGCCGAGTAGCTAGAAATGCAGCATCAAATTCAAGTGAGGCCTGAACTAGACCTTGGGTTTGCCAGTCCGATGCAAAGCAGGGATGGGAGAGCAGGAGAGGGAAGAAGATCAAAGAATCAAGGACCTTAGCAAGTAAACGAAATGAGGGACTGGCAGCCGAGCTTAAGTCAATAAAGAAGACAAACCCAGAATAGCAGTCCCTTGGGAACTGAGAACTGGAGGAAAGGGCTGAGGAGGGGAAATCGGTGGTGGTGGATTTGGCAGCTGGGCTTGGCTGTATTGGGAGGGTGTTTCGGTAACCTGGCTGGAGTATTTACAAACAAGGAAACCACTCGCCTTTTGAATAGCTTTGGACAAAAAGAAAGGGGAAGAGGGCATCACTTCAAGATTTTACTGAAGAGAAGAGATAAAGGACAAAAAACTTTGCATGGTTCTCCCAGGGTGTGATGAGACAAGACTGACCTTGCAGTGTGGGAGCAGAACAGGCCAAAACTGGAATCACTTCTAGGGAAATGGCACAGGCAGCCATGAGAACTAGATAGTAAATGACGAAGTTCAATTTATGTGTTGTTATCTGAATTGGGAGCCACTTTCTGGCTTAAAATTGTGCTAGTGCTGTCTGGCAGCCCAAATGGAGAGACAAAGCACAGGTACACACAGGCATTAGGGACTTCTACTGCTGGAATGGTGGGTGGTCCAGGGTTTGAGGGAGGCTGCCTGGCTCAGGACAGCAACCTGCATGCCAACCATGGCAGTGAAGGTCAAGCTGAAATGATTGGACAACAGTTCCAGAGAAACTAGAAAGAGGTTGTTTGAGTGAATTGGGAAGGGCCCAAGAGCAAGGACAAGGACCAGATTCCTAAGAAAGGGTCTGGAAGGTAATCAAATGTGGGTAGTGGAAGCTTCTAGAATTGTTGCTTGGGGAAGCAGTTCAAAACAAAATGTGGAATAAATTAGTGGGAATTAACAAGGGAGAGGAAGTGGGTCTCTAAGGGTAGATTTGAGGAACTGGTAAGAAAACTGAGGTTGTAGCTCAGTGGTAGAGCACCTGCTTGGCACGCATTACTCCCTAGGTTTAATACTCAGCAATGCAGGGATGGCTCGGCACCGCTGCTCTTCCACAGGACCTGGGTTCACTCCCCAGCTCCCACATATTTAATTCAGTTTCCAGGGGATTCAACTCTCTCTTCTGGCCTCTGAGAGTACCAGGCACACATGGTGCATGGGTACACATGCAGGCTAAATATCCATACACACAGTTTTTTTTTTTGTTGTTGTTGTTGTTTGCTTTTATATACGAAGATGAGGGGCTTTGGAGAGAAGTGGTTAAAGCAAACGGAGCACTTAGATTGCCTCTTGTTAGGCTATGTGGACCACAGGCAGACTGGGAAAGGTGGGAGATGCCATCAGCACGGTGCCAGGCATTTAGAGCGCTGAAAGTCACACAGCCGGAACTTTAGGGGGTAGGATGATGAGGTAAGACACACAACCACACATGTTGGCGCAGGGTGGCACTTTCTCGGGGGATCTGCATGTCATCTCCATGAGAGCTTCCCATTTAGAATGATGTGATGAGGGCTGGTGGCTCCAGGTGAAGGGGCAGGAGGGAGGGGATTGGGAACATAGACTCCTACTTCATGAAAAAGAGTTAGTCCTCCAGTTTTCAGGCAAGGATGAAGCGCTGAGATTCTTCCATGACCTCTCATGGAGGGCTGTTTCTCTTCCATGGCAGTTTAAGAAGTAGTGTCCTACAGTCATGCATAAATACTGTTGGGAATGAGCAGGTCCTAGATATTGGGGCAGCAGAGCACTAAGTTCAAATCCTAGCCCCTCACAGTGAATGCAATCTTTGTAAAGCATTACATTTCCATGTCAAAATTGTCATCCAAGAGGCTGGAGAAATGGCTCAGAAGTTAAGAGCACTGCCTTGTTTTCCCAGAGGACACAGGTTCAATTCCTAGCACTCACATGGTGGCTCTCGGTTTTTTATAACTCCAGTTCCAGGGGATCTGACCGACACCTCTTCTGTAGGCACTGCACACACATGATGCACAGGCATATATGTAGGTAAAAAAAAACACACACACACACACATATGCATATATATATATAATAAATTTTTAAAAAAATATTAAAAACCTGTTATCTGAGAAACAAGATGAATAGTATTTGGGCATGCTTATTAAGAACCGAGGAAACAGGAGCATTTGGCCCTCTAACTTGAAAATAGGTGTCTATGGCTTGGTGGTGGTGGCACATGCTTTTAATACCAGCACTCAGGAGACAGAAGCAGGTGGATCTCTGGGTTCAAGGCCAACCTGGTCTACAGAGTGAGTTCCAGGACAGCCATGGCTACACAGAAAAACCTTGTCTCAAAAAACAAAAACAACAATAAGAGAGAGAGAGAGAGAAAATAGATGTTCAGAAAGCCTGGGGGAACTTAAATAACACTGCAAACTTGATGATCTGTTGGAGAACTAAGAAGTCAGACTTGCATTGTCTCTGCTTGGAGGCCACTGTGTGTTTATTGTCCTTAGGAGAAGCAAGATTCAGTGAGAAAAGTCAAGTTCAGGTTACGAAACGCCTTTCTTTTTAGCAGTTTTACCATTGGGAGGAAGAAGGATTTCAAAGACTTGCTAGAGTAGCAGAAACACATGAGACCTCTGTTTACAAGATACTTTTAGAAAGATGCCTCCATTATCCATTATCATTTATGCATTTCCAGTGTGTGAGGCTCTTCTACAGCAAAGGCAAATCTTGTCCAGTGAGAGGAGGTCAGAAAACTCAGAGAGCAACTGCTCCAGTAAAAGAAACTATTGAGCAGAATAAATGATATTTTAAGACACACTTCTGTCCTGTGTGCAATGTAGCTAAACTAACATTACTGTGAAGCTAACCTTTACATTTCCTGCTTTTCAGCATGCTTAAGGTCTTGATGCTATTGCCCTTACCTCAGTGTTGTGTGTGTGATCCTCATCTTCATTTTCCTTCCGGTTCAGTAAATAATTCTGAACTTTAGCACATGGCTGTATGGGAGCTTAATACCTAGCAAAAAGCAGTTAAGTCTCTCCCTCCCTCCCTCTCTCCCTCTCATACATTATTGTTGTAATTATTTGTTGTTTAGTTTGCTGATTAGCAGTGACCTGAACTGGAATACCCTACTTGTGCTGGCTTAACACCAGTGTAGAATTATCTTTTTATTTAATTTATTTAATTTATTATTTTACATGTGGCAGCTAGAGTTATCTTAAAGGAGGAAAGGCTTCAACTGAGAAAATGTAGCGTATTTTCTTAATTAGTGATTGATGGGAGAGGGCCCAGCCCATGGTGGGTGGTGCCATCCCTGGGCTGGTGGTCCTGAGTTCTATAAGAAAGCAGGCTGAGCAAGCCAAGATGAGCAAGTCAGTAAGCAGCATGCCTACAGGACCTCTGTATTAGCTTCTGCCTCTAGGTTCCTGCTCAGTTTGAATTCCTGACTTCCTTCAATAATGAACAGTGATGTGGAAGTTTAAACCAAATAAACCCTTTCCTCCCCAGGTTGTTTTGGCCATGTGTTTCATTACAGCAGTAGTAACCCTAACCAAGAAAAGTATTTTGGCAGTAGTTTCCTTTTAGGAATACAATCTATGTGATGAAGCCCTTTAACTTACAATAGCAATCCCAAATGTCTCATATATTTCTGGTTTGGTTATCTTTTTCTCATATTCACACCTGACCTTCTCTTGTGCCTCGTTTACAGAGGTTTTTAGCTATGTAGAATCTAATTTCTAAAGCCACATGTTGATAGCCCCCCCCCCCAATTTATTTCTTATTTAGACTCCGTTTGCTCTTGGATTTATATTGTTTAGATCTGCCAGACTCTTTAAAATTTATAATCTCACTCTCAACAGAACACAAAGAGAAAATATCCTGTCACAGTTGTTCAGATTCTAAGCCCAGGGAGAAATTGTATGGAAACCCACATGGCCAGTCATGAGTTTTGAGTAGTTTGGAAAGCAGTGAAGGAACTTTGTCTTTTAGGGTTCTCTTATACCATCCTTACAACAGCACTCTTCCTTAAAAGGGTACCACAAGGAAGGGTCCCTATTTTATAGACAGAAAAACTGAGACAGAAGTGGCTGCCCTGGTTAAATCCATGGGCAATAGAAGAATAGATGTAGGTCTTTTGGCTGTATTGCTTGCATCCACCTTCAGAGAGATTATGCGCCTTCTCAGGTAGAAAGCATCCATTCAACGGTGTTAGAAAAGCTTTGGGCCAGTGCAAAAACATCTTTAACTCCGAAAAGTACAAACTCGAAGATTAGTAAGGTTTTGTAGGGAGGGCAGACAGTAACGACTGCTGGTCACGGTAATAACACCGGCCCCACAAAATGGGAACAACAGGAATCTGAGCGTCAAACCATGATGTGAAAAAGTGCAATCTAATGGGCTAACATCTCACTTCACTAGGGATAGTGCTGAACGCACCAGCTTCGAATTTTCTACAACAAAGCTCTTCTGAAACATTAAGGGAGTAATGCTGCGATTGGGAGAAGACCTGGGGGCCAGGGCATAAAGGTACCCTCTGGGGATCCTCGAACGTGATGGCCTGGCAGGGCGGGGCGGGGCAGGGCGGGAGGTGAAGGAGACCTTGCTTTAGCCACCGCGCCTGCAGGACCCCAGAGAGTCTGCTCTGGAAAGCGGGAGAAGAGTGCAAGCCGAGGGGGCTTGCTCTCCAGAGGGAAGAAAACCCGCACTGGCAAAGGTAGAGCAGACTCGAGAGGCGGATGGGAGGGATGGTAGAGCCAGGGCGGAATCGCCGCAGAGGGGTGTGAGGAGGTGGCATGAAGATCGGGGACTAGGCCCGGACCCGAGCGGCGGGAGAGAGTGAGGGAAGACCGGTTCCTTCTGCAGCTCCCAATTAGTTTGTCAAAGATGGCCAAATTCCACTCTGCCCTTCCCCCTTCCGCGCCTTTTCTAGTCCTCTTTGGTGGCTCCCAGTACTGCTGGAGGCCGTGGGGAGTCCGAGTGAGTGAGCGTCGGGAGGGTGAGGGAAGGAAGAGAAGCTCCCCGCCACACCACCCGCCCCGCGGGTCCTGCGGGAGGATCTTTTAGCCGAGAAAGAGGGTTCTGCGGCTTTAAAGCGGGGGAGTGGGCGTCACCGCGGGGGACCCGGTGACTAGCTGGGGCGGGGTCGGTGGGCGGGGACATGCAAAGCAGGAGGCGGTGCCGGCAGGGCGGGCCCTCGTGTAGCGCTGGGGTGGGGCGGGGCCTCCAGGTGGGCGGGGCGAGGGCGGCTTCTCTCCTGCCGGGCGCGGGAGGGGGTGGAGGCCGCGGCGGGCTGGTACCATCGAGTGCGTTCGGGGAGGGGGTCGGGTGCCATTCCCCCGGAGGGGGCGGGCCCTGGCGGCGGCGGGGCCAGGGCCCCATTCCCCGCCGGGCGGGCCGGGGGAGGGGCGCGCCTCCGCTCGCGTCCGAGGCGGGGCCCGCGGTACCTTTCGTGGCGCGGTGCGGCTGGGGAGGGCCGAGGGGAGGGGGAAGGGGCGGGCCCGGGAGGGGGAGCCGGAAAGGGGGAGGCGCCGGCGGACAATGGAGCCTATGTGTGCCTGCGGGAGTGGGACGGCGCCGCCGCTGCCGCCGCCGCCTGGGGGAGACGCTGCGCCGCCGCTGCCGCTGGCCCCGGCCCCGGCCCCCCGGGGCTGAGAGCAGCAGCCCGGGACCGTAGCCCCCCGCCCGCGCCTGCCCCTCCCCGGCTCCGGCCCGGGGTAAGTGGCCCCGGGGAGGGGGAGGGGCGGGCCGGGGGCCGGGTCCGCGTGCGCGTGTGGCCGGGGGCCTCCGGGGGTCGGGGCGCTGGCTTGGCGAGTTGAGTCTGGAGGAACCTGTTGGGGGAGGCAGGGAAGCCTCGGCAGCTGTGGGAAAGACCGGGGCATCTCTCGGGGTTTTTAGAGGTTGTGTCCCAAAGCTGTGCTTGGAGAGGTTACCTGAGGATCGCCTCGGGGTCCTGGGATGGAGGGGCGAGGGAGCAGAGAGGGAGCGCGAAATTAGGGATTTCTGGTTGAGTTTGGTGGGGTTTCTAAGACCCCGGAGATGCGTAGGGGGAAAGGGGACTCCGCAGGCCAGTGACTTGTTGAGGGATTGGGGGAGGTGAAAAGCCCAGAGGAATGTCTGAGTTGTAAAGGGTTCCAGCAGGTGAGTTGGCGATGTCTAGGTCACTGAGTCATTGTGGGGGTCGTAGAACACACCAGTGATTTTCAAAGTGGATCCCTGGACGCTGGCTGGCCTTTGAAAGTTGTAAAGACTATTAAGATGTCACTGGTAAGTGTTGGGTGAGATTGGTGAAATGGAGATATCCTAAGAGTTGGTTGTTGTTAGTCTGGAGGGAAGAACAAGGCCTGTGGTAGTATTGCTGGGGAACCTTATGTTAAGGTTACTAGGGATGAGAAAGGAGTCTTGAAATCTGTCCTCCAAGAGCTTTGGTCTGCAGGAGGTTAGGAAGAGGGTTTTTTGTAAGTGTTAAGAGTGATTCTGAGGCTAAGGTTGGAGTCCGGTGGGGACTTAATAAAGTCATTAGATAGGGTAGAGATATGAACTGAAATAAATGACTGTGGAAATAGTCTCCAAGGCAGGATGCAGTTGATGCAAAGTTCGACTTTAGTTAAGGCAAACACAAGTCGACCCCTGGCAGTGACTTCAGTAGGAAAATGATCCAATGGTCATGTAAAAAGTCAGTTTGATGGAGTATTTGTTACTATTTGATACACTATGGAATTAAATGCTTGTTTGGGCCACAGAAATTTGGGCTTTTGTGTAGGAAGGAGTGATGAGTTAGTTATCGCAGGTAACAAGAGTAAGTGAAATAGTTGAGGAGTGGGACCAAAGGGTGATGGAGGGTAAGAGTGGTTAGAACTTGTGACTGGAGGTTGTTTTTTTATAGTTGTCTTGTTGGTTTACAAGGTTTTGACTGGACGCTAGTCATCGGAAAGTTTGGCATTGAAGAAATGTACTATACAAAGCTGATAGTCCTGAGGACCACCAGTAACAAAATACTCTCTTTCTTCTGTTGATAGAGATGGATTAAGAAGAGGGTCTGGCAGGCGCAGGCATTCCATTCTTTAGCTAAGTGAAGCAGCCAGGCGCTCTGACTTCCACAGCACAGGCCCCACTCTTACAAGCATGTGGCTCACACCCTTAATCCTAGCCCTGAGAGGCAGAGGCAGGCGGATCTCTGTGAGTTCAAGGCCAGCCTAGTCTACAGAGGGAGTTCCAGGACAAGCTTCAAAGCTACACAGAGAAACCTTGTCTGGGAAAACAAACAAAAAACCAGTCTGTTAGGTGTTACAAACATGCTTGGAGGATTTAGCGCTCCATTAACTGGTGGTTTTGATAAGTTGAAGAATTGTGGAGGTGTATGTATAACATTTCATAGTTTTGTGATCTAAAACTTCAATATTGAGCAATGAAAGTCTTTGTAATCAATGTGCTGAGTATAATAGTTTCAAAATATATGACAGATGGATAGGAAAGTCATTGGCCTAAAGATGAAAGCACAAAGTCTGTATAGTTTTCTATTTATAAGGCAAGTACCATGGAACTGGTTCTTGAGCAAAAGGAATGTTTTGTTCTGGATTCTAGTTGACTAACACAAGCAAAAAAAGTACTTAAATGCATTGAATTTCTTCTATGGGTGTTTTCCCCTTGACCTTCAGCAGTGTCTGCTGCTGTGAACCAAATGGAAATGCTCAACAGTTTGTAGGGGGAAAAACCAAGAGCTTTCACAGGCATTGTAACCAGCCCGATATTGGATCATGGTGACCTGGTACAATGGTGAAAATCCCTGATCATGGAATCGAGCTTACATTCAGCTTTGAGCAGATCTCTGGTTTTCTGGGTTTCCTGCCTGTAAAGTGGTGCTGCTTCCCTAACCACTCGGAGCTGCCTTTCAGCCTAGCAAGTTAATGCCTGTCCAAAAAGTTCGAACACCTTTGAGGATGAGAGATTGTGTAGCACAACTTTTTTTAAAATCCTATTTTGACTGTCTCATTAACAGACCAAATTCAGCTTTTGTACAATTATAATAATATATTTAGTCAAAGAACAAAAGGGTATTTTGTATACATGTTTTCGTCTGTTAATCTGAATTTAGGGATTTGTATTAATTTTGAAAGATAGTGCCTCCTTCTAGTGTTTAATGGCAAGACAGTAATTTTGTAATTGTAAATATGTGAGCAGAAAGTCAGGATGTGTGTTGAGTAAGAATATAGATGCTTTGATGTCGGCCTAGGGTACCAGCCTAAGGCATGCATATTCCTTGGTTTCTTGGCTAGTCCTCTTCAGCCATGAGATAGTGTGGGTAAAATAACTTCTGTCTCTTTGCCTTCATGAATATGACGAGAGCGTGTGGAAGCTTAACTCCAGTCTCAGTGTTTCTAGATCCCAGTACTCTGGCAATCAAGTATTATAGGGCCCCACCTGAGAATGTTTCTTAAATGCACGAAATAAAATACATAGAAGTACAAATGAGTTGTCAAAATGTTCATAGTGATATGATAATATGTCTGCTGCCTTGTAACACACTGAATAATGTCTAATGAGAATGTGATTTTGAAGTAGTGATGGGAGAAAAGTGTGTCACATTATGTCAGCCTATCTTCAGCAGCTGACGTGATGAGAAAATGTGTGGTGGCACTGTTAGTGGCACAGTCACAGTATTGCTAATGCTACACCCACTGTTGAAGGCTGTGCTAACTTCATCACTTAGAGATTAGTCAAAGTGATGATCTGTGTTATCCATTCCCTGAAGGGTCCAAGTCACCCCTCCTCCCCTAGGTCCATGGGGGCTGTGAGTCATGGAGTTAAGAACTATCTGAGACCAACTGATTCTGTATTTATTTCCCCCTGTGATCTTTGAAAGTTAGCTTAAGGCCACTTACATTTTGGGCTTTGTGATATTTTTAAGTATCCATCATGCTGAGAACAGAGACCACATGAAAAGCCAAAGACCATTTTGCAACCTGTGATGGCCATTCTTGGTTGTAGAGAAGGTTAAAAACTAGAATTGAAAGGGCACTTTTGTGCCTGGTAGGTTTTACTTTTCCAAGTCCCATAGTCGCCATCAGCATGTGTAGTTCCCCCACAGGGAAGATTTGCAGTCCCTTTCTCTGACTTGCATTTAAAGGTTTCTTGGGTTTTCCTTCTCCCTCCATTTTTGACTAAGTGCTTTTTTACATTGTCTTCCACAGCGCACTAGGGGATGGGTAGTTTTCCTTGGAGCCAGTGTGAATTTGAGTATGAACTTTTCCTTTCTTCTTGTCATCATAGGACTGAATGTGGAACTAACTGGTGTCACTTCACGTTGGCCTGAAATCTCCTATGTGGTGGTGGGGTGACAGTTCTCCTTCTCTGTAAGTTCCTCCCTGCCCCAATGTAGAGGACAAAGCAACGGGGACAACGTGAAAGGTAAAAACCTCACCATGCGCCATAACTTCTGTGTCTTAAGCTTGAACACATTGGATTTTTGTCTTTCTGGGTTTTCTTGTACTGAGCTGCCGTCTATTCTGGAAGTCTCCCAAAGTGAAACTCATCAGAGCAGTTGCAAGTTACAACTACAGACGCCATTAACCTGTGCTCTGTGTGATTCGGGGCCTTGTGCTTGACTCACCTCCCAAAGCTGAGGAGAAAGGCAGCCGGTGACAAGTGGCGCTAGTACTTATCATGTCCTCTTGGGTTTCGTGAATGTGAGCCAAGGGTACCAAACTCACTGTAATGTGGTTCAGCCATCAGTTGTTGGTTTTTTGCTGGGTACCAGGTGCTGAGATGATGATTGACACTGTCCTCATGGAGTTTCCTGTCTAACTGTAACAGTGATACTGTTTTCAAAGAGTTACATAATGTGACTATGAATACTAGGGGGCCCTGGAGGACATATAGGGTTATCCAGCAAGCTAAGAGAATTTCACAGACAAGGGATATAAGTAGCTATTATTCCTACTTTGAAACTTGAATTTTGTCAGAATTCTTTAGCTTGACATGAATTTTTGTTTCCTTAAAGTTTAGTAGCCATTGAAGGACAGTGGATGCTTTTGCCCCGTGAATACTAAAACACAGTAATATTTCATGTGAACTGAGGTTTTCTGCATGTGCTTACTAAACCATTTGTTTTTTTCCATATTCTGGAGAGAGAGCAGCTCTTCCGTTTGTCTGCTTGAAGAAGCCGTTTTGTTGTTGGCAAGCCAGAAGCTGAGAATGAGCTAGGAATGGAATCTTAAGACCTTTTAGTTCCACATTCTAAGTATGACACTATGCCTTTTATGGAGTAGTGGTCATAGCACAGAAATGAGATTTGTTAAACATGGCACAGTTGTAATGAACTTGACTTTGTCGAGCAGGGAGGTGGGAGAGCACCACTACAGTTGGAATTTTGGTTCTGAGCTCAGTCAGATTAATCTGTGGACTCACTTAAAACTTTACTAATCCTATAGAGTGCTCCTTTAAAGATCCCTAAATAATTTGGCTCTAAAACCTTCCAGAACTTTGCTCTCCTTGCAATCACAACACTGTAGCTTCTGCAGTGAGATGGCTCAGTGAATAGAGGCATCTGTGTCAAGTCTGACAATCTGAGTTGAACCCCCAAGGCCAGAACCCATATGGTGGAAGGGAGAGAACTGACTCCCACAGATTTCCCTGGGACCTCCACACATGCACCATAGCATACATGTGCACGTGTGCATGCATACACATACTAAATCAATACATAAGTGCAGTTTCTTTAAACCATAGATTATGGGCAGAGTGTTAATTCTAGTCCCCAGAGACTGATGTTGGAAATCGCTAAGGCTGTGCGCTTTCCTTAGGTCAGCACATCCCTTTGCACACAGTAGGCATTGAATAAAAGCAAGTGTCTTCAACCCTGAGCTCCTACCAAAGTATAGAAAGACATTCTCTTGCTTGCTGTTGCCACATAGGGTTGCACCTATGCAGAGGGAGGAGCTGTGTGACCCCCCCCCCCAGGTTGGAGATTCAGAAGCCCCCTTGGTGTTTAGTCTCTTTGCACTGTCACAGTTCAGTGTCTATACTAGTAAGAAGTGCTAGAAGCAGGAAAAAAAAAAAAAAAAAAAAGGTGGCCTTTCTTTCTTTTTTTCTATTAAATGCCTGGAAATTTCAAAGTAGAAAAGTTGATTTTATCTGCACTTGGTATCTCTCCAGCCTCTGGAAACAGAATGTGTAGTTGGGAAGGAAAGAAAAGCCAAGGGCCTTGAAATATCTACAGGTTCTGTATAAACCTAACAGTTGGAAGTTGATTCTGTGTACACGTGAGATGGCGCACTCCTCTTTAAAACCCTGGAGTGAATAGGAAGCCTGTTTGTCTCTTGTTACTCCACTGTCGATACTGTTGAGGTTTTCAGATCTGCTTGGGAACTCTCACCCACTTTATGCTCTTCTAGGTGAGGGTCACCTTTGAGGAAGGAGCTTCCCACTCCACCCCCAGGATGAACTCTGCAGTGTCCTGACCCTTGGGGTTCTGGTGAGTACACTTGGCTGGGAGCCTGAAAACTTGTGCCTGCCTTAGGAATGTGATTTCTGTAGAATCCTTTAGCTTTCTCTCAATAGTTGATAATATTTCTTTCCTTCATTCATCTCTGTCACCCTACTCCTCACCTCTGGCAACTGCCATTCTATTACTGACTTCTGAGTTCCACTTGTTAAATGTGTGTGAAATCATATAGAGTTTGCCTTTCTGTTACTGGCTGATTTTATTTAATGTTCTTTAAATTCATCTATGTTATAAATGATTACAATGTTTTTTTAAGGCCCTGTGTGTGTGGAGGAGGGGGGTGGTCTATCACAGCTTTTAAATCTATCCAGCCATTGATAGCTGCTTAGATAGGATCGGTATCTTAGCTGCTGTTAAGAATTGTGCAATAAGGACAGGATGTAGTGGCTCACGCATTTAATCCCAGCATTGGGGAGGCAGAGGCAGGTGGATCTGTCTGAATTTAGGCTAGACTCTTAATTATATAGCGTTTCAGGCCAGCCAGGCTATATGGTAATAACCCTGTCTCAAAAATAAAAAACAACAAAAAGAAAAGAATTCTGCTGTGAAGATACCTCTTGGACATACTCCTTTTCTTGAATGTTAATTTTGAACAAATACCTAATGCCCTGAGCCCCGTGTAGAATTGGAAGGATGCACATTGTTAGTCTTGGTCCCTACCTTCATGGAGCTTATAGACTAGTGGGAAAGATGAACATTGTACAGGTGGTCATAGAGTGATCGCTACAATTAGGAGACATGGAGAGAATTCTGAGGGGAAAACCCAATATGCTCTGAAAACTGTGGAAGATTTCATGTAGGTGGGTGATTTTAAGGCAGTGTTTCTCAACCTTCCTAAAGCTTTGACCCTTTAATATGTCCCTCATGTTGTGGGGGACCCCCAACCATAAAATTACTTTGCTACTTTAACCTGATTTTGCTACTGTTACGAAATATAAATATCTGTATTTTTTGATGGTCTTAGGTAACCCCTGTGAAAAGGTCATCAACCCCCAAGGGGTCTTGACCCACAGGTTGAGAACCACTGTTTTCAGGCGTTCTTCTCTGAAGAAGAAATATTTAACCTGTGACTCCATGCTAGGTGACAGAGAGGCATTTATTGAGATGAGGAAACGGAAGAAAATAGTTTTAGAAGGAAGACTAAACTAAGGTGAATAATTTGGGTTTTTTTGTTTGTTTGTTTTTTTGTCTTTTTTTTTTAGCCATCCAGGGAGATGTCAAGTAGCAGTTGTGCGCATAGGTTTACAAAGCATAAGCCAAGCCAGATGTGTGAACCTGGGAACTGTTGACATGGCAGGAACTCATTGGAGGAGAAAAGAACCCAATCTTGTAGGACTCAGAGTGTTAGAGCTTGTTGAGAGGGCTTGGGATGCACACATGTGAGGAATAACTGGAGAGGCAAGAGGAAAGTGCAGATTCTAGAAGGAAGGAATTGCTTACAGAACTAGCTGGGGTGGCCAACCTTTTGCTGTCAGGTTGACAACATTGTCATCTATAGGGTCCATGCTTGAGAAGCACATAATTGAGTGTTTTTCTGATTGAACAAAGAATCATGTAATGTTTTAAGTAAGGTTTTCATTTTTGTATTGGGCCATGTTTATTGCTACCATGTACACACCTGATAGATGATGGAGTGAGATGTTAGGTCAGTGGCCAGGACAACCCCACAGAAACAGTGGTCTTGTGATCTGGGGATGGAAGTTAATTCCATGTGGTGAAAGGGAATTGACAAGAGAACATTGTGTCTCTTGCCACGTTCGTAGAGAAACTTGACTCTGAGGGGAGTAGAAGGCTAGATTGGGTTTTGGCTTGCTTTGTTTATTTTTTTTTTCTGTATATTCATCTATTCACTTTATGTATGGCTGTATGTGGGCATGTGTGTAACATGGCTCATCTGTGGAAGCCAGAGAACAACCGTCAGGAACTGGTCCTCTCCTTCCAGTATGTGGGTCTCAGGGATCAAACTCAAGTTGTCAGGCTTGGTGACAAACACCTGTTGAGCCATCTCACTGTCCCTCTTTAATTTTTTGGTGCTGGACGGATAGATACTATAGTGGGTCTGAATGCTATTTGGCAAGATCTGATGGGCATAGGAGGAAGAAGGGATGGCCAGAAAACAGAGTAAGAGCCCTCAGCAGGCAGAGTGACCCAAGGCATGAGCCAGACCACCTATTAGTGGACTGAGCTTTGGGGAAAGTGGCTGGTTTTTTGTTTGTTTTGAATACAGTGAAGCAAACCAGCACGGGAAAGAGATGCAGGGTTAGTGCGGGGATGTCCCACTGGGTAAAACATCTTTTATCAGTACTAGCCAAGACCACAGGCAGGAATCACAGCCCTCAGGCCGTGGGGCAGGAGGAAGTGTGCAAGTTCCAGGCCAGCCAGAATGAGACACTGTCTTAAGACAAAACAACAACTACTACAAACACCATTATTCCACAAGCTAGAGTTAGAGAGGGAGGGAGATGGTAGGTAGATAGGAAGGAGCATGTGGGGAAAGTCTGAGTGGGTGCAGTGAGATGGCTGCAGAGTGAGCATTAGTTAAGCACTGCGGAGGGACCGGCTCCCCTTGCCAGTACCCAACCCTGCAATGTGAGGGATACCCACCTCAGGCTCAGGGGCGTGGGCCACTAATAGAGCGAGCGAGCGGCGAGTTCTTCATTGTTGAGATGAGGTAGTAATAGCTGTCTTGTAGGGTTGCTGTGAGTGAGCTGGTACTTGCATGGAGTGAGTCTTAGAACAATGCCTGGGACTTAGTAAGAATGCTGGGTTTCTGAAGAAGAGAAGGGAGATGCATGGGAGGAATCTTCGTCCTAGAGGGCAGTCCCTCTCAGGCTCCGATGACTGAGGAGGGAGGAGTCTTTGCCCTGGAGGCAGTCCGTCTCAGGGCTCTGATGATCCTGTGCACCATCTTTCCCAGAGCCTCATCTGCTTCTTAGTGCCTGTCATAGACATTTGATGGTCTTTGCTCAGTTGTTCTTACTCTCAGAGACAGGCTAAAGCTAGGCAGGATGTCTTTGAACACCTCTCAGGTTAGGAATTAGAAGCCTAGACTTTGTCCTTAGCCCTTGCATGAAGCCTCATATTCCTTTCAACCTCTGTTCTGTCTGTCCATCCACAAACTAAGGTTGAGGAAATTGGGTTAGGAAGGAGAGCCAGGGTCTGAGAACACCGACTGGAGAAGCCATTTGTGCCTGTACATTCTGGTTCATTCAGGTGGAAAACACCTGCCGATCAAGGTCGGGCAAATTGTGAGAAAACAAATTGTATGTAGAAGTACTTTGAAAATAAAAATGTTTTATGTTCATGGCATCATTATTAGAAATAATTTTTGCTACCAGCTCATCATAAATGCCTAGCAGATTAATGAAGCAATTTGATGTTTGTGATGTATTTTGCATTTCTTGGGAAGAAGAGTGAAGCACAAACGCCAGGTGTTTCTGTTTTCTGAGAAGCTGGTAAGTCACATAGGACCCAACTGTATCCTTAGTACATCATGCTGAGTAGTATAGAGAAACCAGAGAAATTACAATACGGTTCTTGTCTTCAAAGAATATGCTCTTCACAGGGAGCAAATAGACAGAAAGGAGTGCTCAGTACCAGAGCCTGAGCACTAAACTATGATGCAGACAGACAGTACTGAAAGCTCTGCTAACTGCTTTCCTTGGCTGATGTAGACCTTCAACCTTCTCTACCCAGAATTCATTGGCTACTTCTCTACCGGTGATTCGTATTCTTGAAAAAGAATGTAAAAAATGGTTTATAATCTTAACTCATCACATTTGACAACCACAGTCTATCCTGTGGTTTAAACTATAAAAGAAAAAAAAAAAAAAAGACAGGAGGTATTAGGAGATAGAAATATGACCTTAAATGTAATAAGATCAGTGTGTTCTTTAACATTCTGCTTCTTGATGCCAACACAGAACCACTCCAGAGCATCTTTTCCTAGTTCTCCTTCCTGTCTCCTTTACTCAAAACTTCCATACATTCCCTTCACTGGCCCAGGTAAAATAGTTGGGACTATTGGAAATACCAAATTGAAAGAATTTTGCACTTGTCCATTATCCTACCACCATGACTTAAATATAACCAAGGATCCTCCTGATTTTATTCACATCTTTGGTACTCTAGAAATAAGTGTAAGCTGTAACACCTGAGCTGCTTCTAGCTTCTTTTCATTTGTAGCCATTAATCCTCACCTGACACTCCCCCTCTTCAGTCCCACACTTGGTCAGCAAGAGAGCAGCAGGTAGAGGAGAGGGAAGAGCAGGTCATAGTGGGTACCCTGGGCGGGACCTGTGCTGTGGAGTGTATACCATGGTTCCGTCCTCCACTGTCTGGGCTTACCTAAATAAAGGGCTTTTTCTTTTGTTCCATAGCTAGGTTTGGGAATATTTTATTGACCTTTATGCTTCAAATTAGCCTTGCAAATTAGCTCAAAAAATATCTTAGCCTTCAAAGATACTCTTTTACCTTCAAAACTGTGGCTCATTGCCATGCTTGCCCATGTCCCTGTCATTAAGGTGAGAACACAGGCACAAAATCTACATAATTTAATAGAAGAATCATGGAAATCAGGGGGCAGAACTGATTGTATTGGTATTAGCTTAATGTTTGTTTTTATAAGTGTCTGGTTCAGTGCCCCATCACCCTCAAGCCCACCCGCAGAGTAAAAGCATCGACGATTTGCTACATGGTTTGAAATTGGGGTGGGTTTGCTATAGTCTATGCCATTGTTTGCCACCACAGCCAAACACCAGAGGTCAATACCCTCTGATTTGAAAGCATTATTTCAAAGCATTATTTGAAGGAGGAGGAAGACAACTCAAACCCATTGAGACTTTTATATTCAGAAATAGCCATAAACACAAGGGAGAATAAATGGCTAAAAATGAAATCTTTTCTCTCCTTCAAACAAAGGCTGCTTGGATGGGAGGCCTGTGTGCTGCTGATGAGAAATTTTTAGTCCCCTTCAGTTGCTTTCTTACCAGAGCCGGTGCCTATGACATGGCTGTCACCGGAACTTCCCCTTTGCCCCTTGTTGTGTTGGTCCTGTCTTTGTTTTGACTCTCAACTTTTCCTTCTATGTTCTTTTCCTGTAGTGTGCCCTGGAGATGCGAGATTTTCCTTCGGTAGCAGGAGGCACACACTCAGAGAATGCTGGAACGTCAAGGGGGAAGGACCCACTTCCACAGCAGAGAAAAACGAAGAGGAAAAAGGCGAACCGGCAGCCAGAGCTAAGGGACATACCAAGCAAGCAGTGGGCAGCTGCCTCTGCCCCCAGCAGCTACTTCTGCTGCAGCCCGAGAGGAACTCGGTGAGCCCATCCCATTAGTGACTGAAAGCTCAGGATTTCAATCAATGCATTCCAGTAACCCTAAAGTGAGGAGCTCTCCATCAGGAAACACACAGAGGTAAGGGCCCGGACCTCACTGCCACCCCTCAGGCACACCACATGTACACCATACATACTCGTTGGTGGATCAACATGTAGGATTAGAAGTAGAATAGTCCCAAGTAGGAAAGGAAGAGGAAACTAATGGACTGGTAACAGCTGTAGCCAACCCTGATGCTACAGTTTTTCTGGGTTACCCTCTCAGCCACCATTCCCATATCTCCTACTGTACCACTCTACCCCTTGCAGAGCACAAGCAGAAGGACCCTAAAGGCCAGGCAGTACCATCTGAGGAGGCATAGAGTGATGAGGTCCTAGGACTGAAACACCACCCAGAGCCTTTGCTGGGCTTCTCGGTACTCGGACAGCAATTTAAAGGAATGTTTTCTGTCTTCCCTGGGGGCTGTGGTTAGCTCACCCTGCCTTAGTATCATGCTGCTGTTGGAAAGAGTCTGGATCATGGAGGATTTCCCTAACCTCATGGCACCAGTGGGTTCTCCTTCTGCCCTCCTAGGCCTGCTTGCTTATCCCAGCAGAAGAGCCAGGCTCTCATTACAGCTGTTCCTCGTCATCAGCCCTGGGGGTGGTAGTATTTTGATCTTAACGATGTCTGTTTGTTTACTCTGAGCTAGTCTTAGTGTGAGAGTCACTTTTCTATGTACATAGAAACGGTTGTCCTTTATTGACAGAAGCCCTAGAGATAAGTCCCCATGTGACTCTAGTGTTCCTGAACCCTGGAGGCCATTCTGTTTGATCTTCCTCTCTGTTGATAGCTCCAAGATGGGGGCCAGGGTAGCAGGGACAAGCAAGTGGGCAAGGTACAATGTGGGGTGCTTATTTAGCATACAGGGTCTCCTTAACCTATTATAGAAACACTAACATGTACTGATCATATCTGATATCTGATCTCTCTGTTATTTGTTTCTTTTAGTAGCCCTAAGTCAAAGCAGGAGGTGATGGTCCGTCCCCCTACAGTGATGTCCCCATCTGGAAACCCCCAGCTGGATTCCAAATTCTCCAATCAGGGTAAACCGGGGGGCTCAGCCAGCCAATCCCAGCCATCCCCCTGTGACTCCAAGAGTGGGGGCCATACCCCTAAAGCACTCCCTG